ATGGGCAGGAAAAGCTGGATCCTGACCTCGGCTCCAGGGGCAGGGAAAGGGGAAAAGAAAACTGGGAATGGGCAGGAAAAGCTGGATCCCAGCTCCAGGGGCAGGGAAAGGGGCAAAGAAAACTGGGAATGGGCAGGAAAAGCTGGATCCTGACCTCGGCTCCAGGGGAAGGGAAAGGGGAAAAGGAAACTGGGAATGGGCAGGAAAAGCTGGATCCTGACCTCAGGAAAGGGGCAAAGAAAACTGGGAATGGGCAGGAAAAGCTGGATCCTGATCTTGGCTCCAGGGGCAGGGAAAGGGGAAAAAGGAGCTGGGAATGGGGGGGGAAAATCCTGCGAAGCTTCCAAAAGAAGGATGGCTTGGAAATTCCTCCCCTGGGAGGCTTGGATGGAATTCCCAGAGGAGCTGTGGCCGCCCCTGGGATCCCTGGAAGTGTCCAAGTCTCATCCCAATGGAATGCTGAGGGTCCTCGGGATGGACCCATCCCAAGGTCGGAGCAACCCTGGGATAGGGGGAGGTGGAATGAGGCTTTAAAGCCCCTTCCCACCCAAACCATCCCGGAATTCCATGATTTTAGCAGGGACAGGACGAGGGATGATGGTTTTAAGCCGGAAAAATGGGAGATTCAGGCCAGGGAAAAGGAGTTTTGGAGGGTTGGTGGGAGGCTGGGATGGAATTCCCAGAGGAGCTGTGGCTGCTCCCGAGATCCCTGGAAGTCCCCAAGTCTGATCCCAATGGAATGCTGAGGGTCCTTTGGATGGACCCATCCCAAGGTCGGAGCAACCCTGGGATAGGGGGAGGTGGAATGAGGCTTTAAAGCCACTTCCCACCCAAACCATCCCGGAATTCCAGGATTTTAGCAGGGACAGGACGAGGGATGATGGTTTTAACCCGAAAAAAGGGGAGATTCAGGCCAGGGAAAAGGAGTTTTGGAGGGTTGGTGGGAGGCTGGGATGGAATTCCCAGAGGAGCTGTGGCTGCTCCCGAGATCCCTGGAAGTGTCCAAGTCTGATCCCAATGGAATGTTGAGGGTCCTTGGGATGGATCCATCCCAAGGTCGGAGCAACCTGGGATAGTGGGAGGTGGAATGAGGCTTTAAAGCCCCTTCCCACTCAAACCATCCCGGAATTCCAGGATTTTAGCAGGGACCGGATGAGGGATGATGGTTTTAAGCCGAAAAAGGGGGAGATTCAGGCCAGGGAAAAGGAGTTTTTGGTGCTGAGGGTGGTGGAAACACTGGGAGAGGAGGCAAAGTGGATCACGGGACATGGAATGGCTCAGGTTGGAAAATCCTCCTGATCCCACTGGATTCACCCAGCCCTGACCATCTCTCCAAGTGCCACATTCCCAGGGATGTAAAATCCCCCCAGGGATGGGGATCCAGGGCTGGGCAGCCCCTTCCCAGCAGGGATTT